ACTACAATATTGTATTAGAAACTATATTTTTAAAATTAATATTTAAAGAGTTTATCAAGAAATTGTAAATTATTTTTTGTTAAAAAATTTCTTTAAAATTGTTTATTTTTAGCTTATAAGCAATCTAAAATTTTTGGTTTATAATATAAATACAAATATTGCAAAAATATAATCCTTATTTTTATATATTATTATATTAAATTTTATTTAAATATTTTAAATAATTAAAAATGTAGATCAGCAAAATTGACAACAACTCTTTCTGATGATCTCTTGAACCAAATTTTGCCAAAAAAACTTTTCAACAAAAACAGTAGAAACTGACTAGCCAAACTACATAAGACGTGAAAAGAGGGACAGTAAATCAGCACCTGTCATTTAAAGATAGTTCTTATATGCTATCTGCCAACAGGCTTAGAGTTTATTACTCACTGCAAACCCGGTACTTGTCATTTAGAGATAGTTCTCATATGCTATCTGTTAACAAGTTCAGAGTTTATCACTCGCCAACAAAATACGAGTAGTGCAGTTCTGGCTAGAAAGAAGACTATTTTTGTTGTTTCTAGTAACTTACTTTCCTTTAAGTGGTATCAAGAGATCTTTCTCTCTATGTCATTTTGTGCCGGTCTTACCAAAATTTTTCGACAAAAAGTGGGCATTTTGGCTTACTCCCTCCAAAAGATCGGCATTGTTTACACCTACCAAATCGGGATGAACTCAGTAGAAGACAACCACGTGTTTTGTTGTTTTGCGAATACAGTGCTATGGTACGGGAAGAGATCGTTACCCCCGTTTAGGAGATACCCGAGTCGAGTCGGTGCCCAGAACGAGTCCCAAAGCTAAACCGTCAGTTTACAATTAAGATATAGTAATTAGTTGCAATTATTATATAATTTTTATCCTTATGCCTGGCACGGGCTATAATAGTGTAACATGGCTACCTTTCTTTTTTTTTCGCTTTTTTTATCTTTGTTTATTTATGTTAGACTATTTTAGAATTTGTTGAAAAGTTTTTTTTTTTTCCCACCGTGAGGTGTTTTTTTTTTCTAAAATGTTTATATCTTTCATAAACATGGCTTTATTTTTTTTACTTTTATGTATGAATAAGGGTTTTAATTGTTGTAGTCAGGCTTAGGTAGAAGAAGTCTGAAAGAAGGGAGAGGTGGTCATGATGAGTGGCAAGATCCACTATTAAGAGCCGGGTCATATTCAATTGCAGAAGGGGTCCGGAAGGAGGGAAATCTTGCTATAGCAGGTCGAACATAGATGCCAAGTTGGTAAACGGGTTAGTCTTAACTATAGATGCTGATGAAATATGGTGAAATGTGGTGAAATAATTTCACCACTATTGGTGTAATTGGTAGTGAATTGGTGAAATTGGTGAAATTAATTTCACCAGCATCTATAGTCTTAACTTGTAATTTAGGTAACAATGTGAGCTATGGTGCTTGTCATTTAGAGATAGTTTTCATACGCTATCTGCTGACAAGTTTAGAGCTTATCACTTATCTTCTAAATGCCTAGTTGTAAAATTTTACATATTCTAGAGAAATTGTACAAAGTCTTATAAAGCTAAGGCATAACTGCTGAATTATAAAAAAAATAATAATAATAATTAAAAATGTAGATCAAAGATATATTTATAGTAATTATACAGACAAATTTGCCTGCAAATCTCTACTAATTAAGAGATAGCTACCAATATGATTTACAGACCAACAGTATAACAATAATAATAATTGTCAGGGATGATGCTAAAACAAAATAATACTGAAATGTAAAAGTCTTAATTTAGAAATATAAGCTCTACTAAAATTCATCTATATATTTTTATTATAAATATTAACCCTAAACTCTAACTTAACTACAAAAAAAAAGTCAAAAAAACATACCCAAAAATTTTAAAATTTGATATTAAAATAAGTCAATATTTTAGCATTATCTTGTTTTAGCATTATCCCTGACAATAACTGCCTTATAAAAGCAAAAATATAGCAGAAATTTAACCAATAGTCTATAAACTGAATACAATTTAGTATATATACAAATTATACTCTAACTACTAAACCTAGATAAGTTTTAACTCAGACATAACTCTTCCCAATGATCACTCATACCAAAATTTCTTATTAAAGAAAAACACAATTTTTGTTAGAAAGTCATAATCTATATAGTAGTTTGTCTAGAGGTTAATGTTTTCTTTTTATGGGACTCCTCTAAAAAGACATTCAGTATGTAAACCAAGAGCATTATTATACAAGATAACTAGCAGGCAGTGCCTTTGTATAAAAAATCTTGGTGGAAAGACAAAAGTCTTTTTCGTCGATAAAGCTCTTAGACTATTAACAAAACACAGAAGAAACAACAAATATTCATAGATTTTAACACACTCTTTTGAAATTTTAAAAGTACCTGACTTTGCAAACCATCTTCCATATTTCTGCTGGGTTTTTCTCAAAATTTTTTTCAAAATGTGGGAAATTTGGCATATCTCCTACAAAGGATCGACATTGTTTACGTAGCCAAATCAGGAATGGCTAAATCATGAAAAAGTTATGCTACTACATGTCTAAACAACAATAAATAACATGTAATAGATCTGTAGAGTAAACAAGAAAAATTTTGTATTCTCTACGTAAATGAACTATTTTAATACCAAAGTAAAGTGAAGATAGAGATTGTTTTATAAAGTATTAAATAATTTTTTAAGCCCTGCATTGTCGCAATTAGTGTTGTTATATTCATGTTTTTTTTTTTGCTCTTTTCTTTTTTTTATCTTTTTTTTTCTTTTGTTTTTTGTATTTAGGTCTTGTAGTATTTTTTTTTTTTTTTACTATTCTTTTTTAGTTTAGTTTACTTGTCATTTTTTAGACAAGGATTATGAAATCATCTTACTCTGATATTTAGAAGAGAAGGAATTTAGAGAAATTAGCAGTCATGACAGGCTATAGAACTATTCGTAGATTTATTTATCTACTTCAATAGCAGGAGGAATAAGTAAGGAGATAAACTTTACTATAGTAGATCGAACATAGGCACATATTTGATACAACTGGGTTAGCTAACACTTGTAATTTAGGTAGTTGGACATGATGTGTTTGATAAGATTAATAAACTCATATTGTTTGTTTATTATAGCCTAATAAAGTGAGCAGCAGGGAGGGCGAGCAGACTTTTTTTATATTTTATAGAATTTTTGGGTAAGTTGAGTATATAAATTAAAAGCTCTGAAATTGTCAAAATCCATATTATCTTTTTATATAAAATACCCAGGAACACGTTCTAGAGGCTAGATTTTTTTGGTTAAAAATGGCCCTTCCAGAGTTCCAAGAACAATAATTTAGTTTTCTGAATAAATCAGCGCTTGAGAGCTCCAAGAACAATAATTTAGTATTCTGGTTAAATCAGTACTTGAAAGCTTCAAAAATAATAATTTAGTATTCTGGTTAAATTAGCACTTGAAAGCTTCAAGAATAATAAGGTTAATTGATACTTAAAAAGACCAAGAACTATGATTTGTTTTTTTGCCTAGCTGGAGTCTCCGAAAACTTAATTTCGATGACGAGTACAGAAAGTGCAAGGAACGCGTTTTTTGGCTCTCTGATAGCCTTCTTATATACTTAAGTTAGACTATATAGAATAAAATTTAAATTTAAAGAAAAGAATATTTAAGGTAATATATATGAATCGGTTAACTATATATAGATATAGACCTTGTCCAAGATGTGGCGATACATTCGCAACAAACCAAAAATTCAAGTATCAATTAACTGAAAGAAAGCACCCTTGTGCACCTCGAAATATATTACAAGCAACTGTGCCAGTTTCTAGCTCTGAACCCTTGTCTAATTTAGATTCGCAATTTCAAGTAGTAAAAGATCCCAATGCTAGAAAATCAGGCGAGTCTGTTAAACAATGGGGATCGAGATTACGAAAAAAAGTCAAAGAATTAGGTGACAAGGATCGTGGTCAGCCAAAA